AAAGTTTTATGGAAGATATGGATCAAAATATCTCAGAAAGTAGAAAATCGGCCTGCAAAATGAAAGCGAGAGAATCGTTCAGCATTTCATCGTTTCTGTAATTGGGTATTATTTATAATTTAAATTTCATATTGTTAATCTCGCTTGTTGAGGTTTTCACTTCTATCGTGTTGTCGAAAGAACATATATTATTTTTACTTTCACTTATCTTATATAAAATAAACTTATATAAAATATATAGAAAAGGATAGTATTGCAATCGTAAACATTTTTGAATCTCAGTTTTCAACTGAAATACATGTTTTGAGATATGCTAAGTCAAAATAACCAAGTATCACAAAATGGTGTGTGTCTGTGTGTGTTCTAAGGGTGTAACTCAAAATAATGAAAAGTAGTACGAAAAAATGGCTCTAACGATTTTGCTTAATCTCGGTGTATCGTTGTATAATTAAGAGGTATTTAATATCATTTAGGTCATATCCTCATTGATGTCACTTTACAGAGCTTAAATGGCCAATGTTCATATAGGTCTTCCTCTGAAGTACCTTTAATCTGGGTTATTTTTATAAAATAACTATCTTTATTGACACTATCTATAAAAAATGGCTAAATATGAAGTTTGAAAGAATATAATAATTAGAAACTGGATAAAAAGAAAAATGGTTATCCAGGTTGAAAATGAATCTACGGAAATAATAGTCAGAAGGTATACGTATAATATATCGTTTGAAAGTGAAAAATTTTATAAAGAATAATATCAAATAAATAAAATTGCATATAAAATATAAATAATTATTTCAGAAAACTAATTTATTTAACTTAAATCACATGTTTCCAAGGAAATTAAATGAAATTTTTACACTATATGTAAACTATTTTTTTAAGTTCGAACAAAAAGTATTTAAAATCCACCATATCAAGCCAATGCCATTGTTTAAAATACTATTTCATTGTACTTGTGTGAAAGAAAAAATATTTCATGGATATGTTTCTAATCTCAAACATATTTAATATAGTTTAATAATTCTAGATGAGATATTATATTTAAATAATTAGATATCTATTGGCCGTTTATTCCAAAAAATCAAGTAACCTTTTAGATGAATTTTTTATTTGCGAAATCCCAACACTATCCACTTACAATTATTGTGACAACTTTTGACTTATCCATAGCAGGCAATGAAAATCTCGTAATTTGGTTTCAGTAAACTTTACAATGGAAAATAACCGTTTAATAACTATTAGTCCTACGATCGATTTTCATCATTTATAGGTTAAATATTCAGATATACTTTATTATTACAAACCTCTCAAGGTATATATGAGACTTTCTGTTGACAGAATGACTAACCTCAATTTCAACATTCTTTATTATTAATTTTTCTAGTGGCAAAATTAATACTTTTATTCACCATTCTATATTTCAACACAGCAATCACTCTGGAATCAACTTACTCACTGTCTGTATAGATATAACTTTTCCAACTAGAAATATCACTAGTCATTACTCAAAAATGTTGAAATTGGAGTTCGTCATTCTGTTACCTGAAAGGCTCAGAGACTGAAGTTGTGTGGTTCATAAAAGCAGATGGGTTAACAAGATTTTTATTGGCTACCATCGATATAATAAATAGATTTTTTGTGATTTTAATGTTATTTATGATTTGTTATAAGTAAGCTTTAAGCTTTAGCTCCGTTTAAAATGCACTTTAATTTTATAATAACCCGACAATGCCAGAAAATAATTTCTATTCAAACTAGAGCGGTAAATGAAAGTTGTGTGTATGTTGTGCACCTTTTATTTTGGTGTGTATGTTACAGGTGAGTTTTCTGTCCAAGTATAGTTTGAGTTACCGTTCATAATTTTTGTAATTAGATTGTTGTCTATAGTTGAACCATGCCATCATTTTTACAACATATTATTTTTAAAATCATTAATAATTCATCTAATTTTCAACTAAATATTATAACTAAATATCATTTTTACAACATGAAAACCCGGGGCATTGGTAATGACCCAGTGTGTCTATTGTAGGTTAGTAGTGGCTGTAGGAGATGGGGCGATAGCTAGACAATAGCTAGTTAGGAGCGAGCTTTTATCTCAACAACCTCCATCCTCTTCCAACCAGGAGCTGTTGTAGCCAATGGGACTGCTAGAGAATGCTCCATCATCAACAACATGAAGGAATATGAGAAAATATCATTCACCTCAAGTGGAAACATACTAAGTAATTACATAATAATAAGGGTTAAACAGGGTTTGCTCATTTCAAAAACATCATGAACACAAATGGACGACAAAAAAATCATTAGAAGCAGGGTATTTAAACATTTCAGTATTTTCAGAGAAACCAACATGGTGGATGATAGAAATGGCATCTGCCCTACCTATTATAATTCGTAAAAACCAAAAGAATATTTTTTTTTAATTTATGACGTTTACAACTGTACTAGTATAAATACATCAAGTAACTGTGTACAGAGGAATATAATTACATAAAAACGCTTGTTGAGAAACTACCCATTGGTATTACTCTAGTAATATGTCTACTTAAGGAGATCATGACAATAATATGTCTAGATGAGGCCATCTTCTTTTCAGACGCTTCCGAGGGTTATCAGGAATCGAAGAAGAAGTAAGGTTAGAAACAAGAGGATTCCGGATGGTTATGAAGGTGGATGGAAGGATAGGTATCTGGATTGAGCCATATGAATTATTTTAGAAAATAGAAATAGAAATAGAAAATAACTTTATTCTGGGACAAAGTCCCTTTAGAATAACAAAGTAGAACATATTTAAAATTATACATCTGGCCAATATAAAACAATAATAAAAAAGAGAAAGTAAAGAAAATATTAGTTAAACAAGCTATATACAAAAAAAAAAATCTATATAAAAAACACTTAAAACTATGATAAAACACTTAAAACTATGTACAGTAGGAAAAATTATAATTATAGTCTTTTGAAAAATAAAATAATAAAAAATACATTGAGTTCTTCTTTAAAATGAGGAGGTGTGTTTCTGCTAACAAAGCTGACAATATAAAATATCAGTGTCTTTAAATAATGATTAATATGTAGACTCATCATTGTCAAATGCTATAGGTACAGATTTAATTATATACCAATAAAAAATAATAATAAAAATAAAAAAACAAATTATAGATGCGCGGTCAGTGGCATTAAGAGCCGGAAAATATTGTAATATCTCTAGTGAAGTAGTCAGTATAGAATAGCACTGTCGTTTGATGATGACTAGAAATGTATAATATCAAAAGTTTAGCAAGTATCTGACTGTTTTTGGGAAAGGAATTGGAATAGGAGGGATTTGAATGTGGATATGGAGGAGGAATGCCGAATTTTGTTAGGTAGAGAATTCCAGAAATTGACCGCGCGAGCTATAAAGGAATTCTGAAATGAGGCAGATCTGTGCGAAGGGATGTAGAGGTCAGACGGTCGAGATTTTATGGTCTTTATGAATTATTTTATTTGTGACAATAAAGACATTGAGGATTTTACAAAGAATTTTGGATTGTAAGGATACGAGAGGAATTTGATGGTTTAGTGAAGCCCCATACCTCAACTCCGTAAGACCAAATAGGCTTTATTATAGTCATGTATATGAGTCTTTTGTAATTAATTCGAAGTTTAGAGCGTTTGTCCAGCAAGTGTTGGAGTAAGCGGAAACGTCGAGCAGTTTCTTGACGTTTCAGTCTTGTATGAGGATTTCAAGTGAGACGTTTGTCCAGGTGGAGTCCTAAGTATAGGATTCGTTCAACACAAAAGAAAATTAATGCATAAAATTCGTCAAAGAGATGTTGGATGAACAAAACTAATTTAAATGGTACCAAGAATCATTAAAATCAACTTCTATCAAGCAGCAAAGACAGAAAACAAATGTCTAAAAGGGACACTAGTCCACAACTACACATCCTATAATTTCTTTTTAAAAAACAACAGCAAATGGAATGAATACAAACAAGGAAATAAACAACAGCCTAGAGGAATAAGGAAGAAACCACCATTAACCATGTCCATTCAACTAAAAAAATCATTTACAGATAACTTTGGGATTTATAACTAAAAGAAGTATATTTTCTTTAGAAATTAGGTAACACATTTATTCAGTGTTGAGTATTTATTAGTGTATTTTTCTTCAACTTAAACAAAATTGAATACTATAAAAAGTACGTACATTTAATCATATGGAAAACAATTTGTTTTTGACTTGCAGTAGAATTAAATTTCATGGGAACAATTGTATTAGCATCTATCTCAAATTAAAGTTTTGATTGTTAATATTTTTATTTGTTAATATTGTAAATAAATTTCAAATTACCCTGACAAGATTCGAACCAGCGTCGCCAGACTCGGGAATGTTAAGGTTTACGCTTTAACTGCCATCACTACCTCAATGCTAATATGTGTCGAATAAGGATACAGAGAGCATTAGAATTTAAATCAACGAACTTAGGCGTCGGAACTGGCAGGAAAAGACACTTTCTTCTCCCCTAAAAATATTTTATGGCGAGGGCCAGGCATTCCAATTTCACAGGCATTTACTAAAAAATTACTTATAAAAATCCAATAAAGCGTTAGTTAATAGTTAATATACAAGTAATAAACTTGTTGAGGTGGCCATACGGGCTAGCACGTGTGCACAGCACCTGATATATAAGACATTGATAAAAAATAGTCACGAGTTGGCGTCCCGGTGCCGAGGGAGTCTTTTAAATCTCCGCCCTCACACCCTTTGGCCCGGGAAAACCTCGTATAGCCTAAAGGCGAGGGGACTGTGATGGTCTTTTATTAATGGTGTTCTGCATTACACTAGCTTTAGCCCTACCAATATTTCATAAGTGCCGTTGACAACGAATACAAACAAATGTTATTATAAGAAATGATAAAACACATTAGTGGATTAGGATGTCCTGGGCTTCTTTCGTCAGTGCTTTCCTTCACATCAACTCAATAGTTCCTTACCGAGTTGATCAGGGATGGGTACTGGGTTCAGTAGCGCTTTCAAAGTTGCACGTATTTTGGGATCGTTTCCCTTTGACGACACATACCAATGTTCCACAAAATGGTTAATATATTGTATATTGTTTCAACTGCTAATCTTCTCTCTACTGGTTGATGATATATTTGAGGACCCACAATTCTTAGAGAGTATCCCTCGTAAAGCAATGATTGCTTTGATCGTTCAAAACTTAGTAATAAATATTGTATACTTCTTTATCAACATCTTCACTATCTTTCATTTGACACGAAAAAAGAACATGATTTGTGATCTTTTGGACAGCATTAACGACGAAATAGACCAATGCGTCAGCTTCCCCAAAACAGGATTCTATACGATTTACATCCACTTGTTAATTAATACATTATTAATAATACTTTGGATGATTTCCTCCATTACAGATTTTGATGTAAAGATTATAAAAATCTTTTTAATTGCTTTAGATTTAACTAATGCTCCAATCAGCATCACCAGCCAGCTGTGGGACCTGATGCGGGTACTGACCATCTTGTTACGAGAGACAACCAAAAGATACGACGAAGATTCCATCAGAGCCTTAGAAAGGATAACAAGTTATGGAGAATACATCAACGATATCTATGGTCCATTACTGTTCTTCATTGTGGTGGCGCCATTTTTGGAAATAGTTTGCTATTCGTATATTATTCTCCTTCCAGTTTTCCCCGGAATGTTTAAGTTAAATATCGCTACTTTATCGCTCATGATATTATGCTTAATTAGATTGGAAATGATTGTTTACTCCTACAGTGGCTTTCTCGATGAGGTAAATAATTTTGACTAAAACAATATATTTATTTATTTAGTTGTTTGGGTGTTTCGACCACTGGGATCATTTACACTGAAGTCTCTTTAGTCACTTGAAGTTTTTTTTATACACTGACAGTTTAAAAATTCCTCCCATTTGATTTGTTCATGTTTTCATCTAAAAATATTTCTGCTTTGGATTGGTTTATTGTCTTTAATGAATAAATAGGTAATCTTTTTGTTTGTTTTCAATTAGGAATGTTAATATAGAGGACAATAACCCTTAATCCTTAATTCAATGAAATGATTCTAGATTCCAATGTTTACTTTCAATGGAATCAAAATGTTTATTCAGTATCATTAGTTCAGTGCCGTTTCTTGCAGCACATTTCTTAGTCTCCGGCTTTTAATTTTTTCATTATTAAGTTTAAAAATGTCTCTGAGTGCTGAGGATGTTGCGCGTGGTGTGGCACTTATTGATGATGGACGTTCCATTAGATATGCAGCTAATGCCATCGGAGTTCCATATGAAACTATACGAGACGCCGTCAGGCGTTTTTGGGAAACTGGTTCTTACAATAGAAGGCTCGGTTTTTGACTTTGAGAATTTTACGAAAACGGCACCTTACCGTTGTTCAACCGGACGATCGCTGATTTCGTTGAGGATAGGCAACATAGGAGGTTCCAAAATCACATCTACATACCAAATGGCGCTCCATTGTAAGAACCAGTTTCCCGAAAACGCCTGACGGCCTTTCGTAAAGTTTCATATGGAATGGAACGTCCATCATCAATGAGTGCCACACCACGCGCAATTATCCTCAGCACTAAGAGGCATTTTTAAACTTAATATTGAAAAAATTAAAAGCCGGAGACTAAGAAATGTGCTGCAAGAAACGGCACTGAACTAATGATACTGAATAAACATTTTGATTCTATAGAAAGTAAACATTGGAATGTAGAATCATTTCATTGAAGTAAGGATTAAGGGTTATTGTCCTCTATATTAACATTCCTAATTGAAAACAAACAAAAAGATTACCTATTTATTCATTAAAAACAATAGAACAATCCAAAGCAGAAATATTTTTAGATGAAAACATGAAAAAATCAAGTGGGTGGAATGTTTTTCCTGTCAGTGTATTTTATTATAAATGTCGATAGTTTTTAAGAATTTAACACTAAACATACCATAACGGGTCAAATGACCCATTTTGAACTTTTCCATTGAAAATGCACGTATAATTTTATTGCGTTTGCACATTTGACTTCATGACTTTTTCTAAGTAATTAATGTACAGTTATAAAAATATTTTTGTTTTGTTTTGTTTTGTTTATTCTGAGTAATCCTTGTTGTATACCGATATCTACCACAACAGGTCATTTGACCCGGAGAGAATTTTTTTGTGTTATGAGATTATCTAGTCATATTTGTAGTCAGTAAGTTGCACATTCTTCCAAAGACTGTTGCGTAAAGTAGTTCAACGAAAATAGCTCAGAATAATTTCAAGAAAATATCAAATTTTAGATTGAAAATAGCTTTTTAGTGTAGGAAAAAGTGGCAACAATTGAAAGTCTTGGTAAGTACCTAGCTTATATTTTATTTTGATAGCTATAGTAATACAGATAATTTTTTACCTAGAAAAATGTCGAAGCAAACAAGACAGTACAAGTTCTTAGAAGATATAAATAATATTGGCGAAGAGTTTTCAGAAATTAGTGAAGATGAATTTTCTGAAAATGAAGATATATCGGTTGCAAATAAAAATGATTTTGATTCTACAGATACTGACGATGAAGAGGAAAATATTGTGAATGTATGTAGTGGCCGAAAAAGAATAAGATTACTCACAAGTTCGGAAGAAAGTGAAGTAGAAATAAATGAAGAAAATGTTGCGAATGATGGATCTGTTTGGTAACAAATGCAAGTAGGTGGCACACCTGGAAGAGCACCACTTCATACATTTTCGCTTTTGTAATAGAAATGCTCAACATACTATTTTGTTTAATCATAATAAATTTAATTTATATTTTTATTTCCTTCCTAACATCCATATTTCATACATTCAAGCATGAAACATAAAGTCGGGTCATTTGACCCGGTATGGTGGAAATAGGTATATATTAAGTCTTGGTATAATTAGTGTTAATAAGTCTTGAAGTCGTGTCTGGGTCCTGTCTCAATATTTGTGCTAGGTCTGTGGAAAATCTGTAGGAGTCGTGAGCCATACACTCTGTTAGTATGTGAAGCATTGTTAGAATATACTCGCAGTATATTCTAACAATATTCCGTAATATATATTCTAATGTATAATATATAATATATTCTAATGTATATTCCGCATGTTGGCGGTTCTTCCTTCTTCATCAAATATCCATGGGTAAGTCGACGATGGCCAATCCTGAGGCGGGTAAGAACTACCTCTTCTCTCCGTGATAGATTTTTTCTTGGATGTTTAACACACTGTTCGATTTTTCTAAATTTATTTTCTCTCATGCCAAACTCAATGGTTGCCACTCCAGCCATCCTTTTTAATGATCCGAGATATTAGATCGTTGTGATCACTTATTAAAAATACTTGACTATTTTTATTGCTCGATTCGGCTGTGCGACTGCATTTTCATTTATAGAAATTCCACTGTGACCAGGTATCCATTAAAAACAATACTCTACAACCTGTGTCTTTCAATGTTTTTAATTGTATTTTTATTTCTGTAATAAAACAATATATAAATAAGACTGGCTTGGGGTTCCCTACATGATTGTATATATTGTACATAGGTATGACTGAGTGTTTTTAATTTACTTATCTTTAGGTTTTTTTATTTTTTATTGTAAACAGTTGTTTGATTATTATTTTACTTTTGTTAATTTTATTTTTTCTATATATATATGGTTCATTCATATCGCACGATAATTATTGTACGCGTGACACTATAATTATTATATTTCTAAATAAACTAATAAAAAAAATATAAAATATATTTTATATTAAGTTTGAATTAAATTGATGGTACACTACTTATCTATTTTTGGGTAAATTAAATTAATTGAATCCATTTTTAAAAGTAAATCAGAGACTAAATGTGCTTTAAAGCTAACTTATAAAGAGAGATAATAAAAAAAAAAAAAAAAGATTTATTGATTTTTTAAAATTTTTAACTTTATATCCAAGACAAGTAATAATATGAGAAGGAGTTAGTCGAGGGTGCGGTCAAATAAATAATAAATTAAAATAATTAATATATTTTAATTTATTATTTATTTGACCGCACCCTCTACTAAATCCTTCTCATATTATATCAACGGTCAACCATCTCTACATCATAATAATAATAGTAATAAAAAGGCTTAGCGAACCCGAAGGTTCGATGCCGACACCACCAATCTCTTATTACACACCTCCCTCCACCGTTCGCCGTCCAAACCCAGTCCCTTCAGATCTGCTTTAATGCAATCTTCCCACCTTCGCTTCGGTCTACCCCTCGGACGCTTACCATTCGGCACAGCAAATATTAACCTTTTAGGAATTCTCTCGTTACTAAGTCCAACAACTTTACAAGCCCATTTGATTCGCCGCGATGAAATTATCTCAATTATATTACTCGAATATAGTTCACGCAATTCGGCGTTGTGTAACCGTCTGAACTCTCCGGTTAACTCATCCTTCTTCGGTCCGAATATTCTACGCAATACTTTATTTTCAAAAACTTTAAGACGCTGCTCATCCCTTAATGTAAGCGGCCAAGTTTCGCATCCATAAAGAACTGTAGGCAATCTCTACATCATAAGTAATAATATTTTGAGAACTCTCTTTTTCTAAAAAACAAACACTGAAAAGGAGCAAAACAGATAAAGCAATAAATTATAACAGAAATAATAAAGGGAAATCTAAAATATAGAAGTGATGTTTAGAAGATAGTTGCCATGGTCACCGACATTAGTAATAATCGAGGAATACAAATAAATATTTAGTTTAGAAACGAAAATAACTTTATGATGGATTCTACCGTCAAACGTTTTCTTTGTTAGTGTTTCTTCCTAGGTGATACAGTCGGCATAGATCAGTTATGGAAACCAGGCTGAGTAGTGTGTTCAAACTTCCACGTATTTTGGGACTGTTTCCGTTCGATGACAGATTCCAATGGTCAAAAAAATGGATGATATATTGTGTATTTATCCAGTTAATGAGCATTCCTACAATGGTTGCTGGGTTTTTTTATAATTATCTTGTGGCAGCAAGTTTTAATATGAGATCCGTAACTGTTTTTATTGTTATAATTTCGATAACATATCTTCTATCGTTCTTCAGTAATGTCTTCACAGTTTTCCATCTCACCAGAAAACGGGAAACATTATCTCACTTACTTCATAACATGAACAAAGAAATATTAGAATGCCACGGGTTTCCAAAAAAAAGATTCTATGGAATATATTTCGTATTTTTCGGTAGCATCTTATTAATATTTATTTGGATGCACTTCTTCGAGGATGGTTTCAGTAAGAGTGGTACGATTCTCTCGTTGATGGCAATACAGTTATCTACTTCGTCAATCTGTGTTATCAGCCAGTTTATGAACTTGATGGGAGTCCTAACCATCCTGATCCGACTGACTACCGAAGCATACGACGAAGGTTCCATCAATGCCTTAGCGAGGATGTCAACTTATGGTGAATACATGAGCGAAATCTACGGGCCATTTTTATTCATCATAGTGGTGGAACCTCTATTTCAATCGATTTATTTATTGTACTTATTTCTTTTACCAGCTTTTCCAGGAATATTGAAAGTAAACATCATGTTAGTTATGTTCATATCATCATGCTTCCTAAAGATGGGAAATGTTATTTATTCATGCAACAGCTATCTGGTTCAGGTAATATTGAAACTACTTTTTTTTTTTAAATATTGCTGATGTGTAAATTCTAATTAATTTCATAAAATTTAAATATATTTAATGAAATAACAATAATCATAGTCAGTCTAGAAAAGAAATTTTTTAATAATTGCCGACACAGATGGAGGAATGGCAGGAAAAAAAATGTCGGTCCATAATTTGCTAAGGGTGTAATAAATATAAATATAAGTACGTCTTACTGAAGGATTAAAAGAAAGTTGATGCCTTCCGAAATCTGAATAAAAAAACCTACACCGAATAGTGGTCTTCCACTTGTAGTCCCTCCTTGAGGGAGATATTGGATTAGAAAGAAGGTACAGACAGTTAGGAAATACAGTAGGAGGCACAGGCGGATCTAAGAAAGGGGAGGAGAGCTTTTGGACTAAAGCCCTTACCCACAAATGGTAAAATATAATCATGTTTTACAAAAAATATTATCTCTATAAGTATTATTGTTCGTCTAATTACATTTAATAGGACTTGAAGAATCACTTAAACACCATTTCATGCAGGTAGTTAGTTTCTTTCTTTCTTCCGAAGTAATTATCCCAATATACATACAAAAAAAAAATTTCGGTCTGAAGCCCCCCCCCCTGCCTAGAATTAAATCCTGGTTTCGTTAGTGGTAGGAGGAAGTTCCCTGGCAAGAAGAAAACCTCGAGATGATGGCGGTTACGAAGAAGAAAGTAGCTGACGATCCTATCATATCCTCACACACAGATAAACCATAGTATTCATTTAGATCCTACTCATTTCATTTGTGTTGTCAATTATTTAAATTAATAGCGTTATTAACCATGGTTATATTAGCAAGCTCTATATAACAGAGGTTCTTCCCTCATATCCTGAGATGTACCCGCTTGAGGTTCAATATTATCTGTTGCAGTAGGTGGAGTTGCAGGTTGCGTCATTCTATTCGATCGACGAGTTCTTATTTTCGCAGTGGTATCGAACGTGGTGTAGATCCGACAGAGCGAGACCTCGTTGTTGCACCCTTAGAAGACATGAGTTGGTGATAAAATCTCATAACATGTCAGAAGAAAGCGAGGGAAGAAAAAAAATGAAATAAGAAATAAAATTAAAACACGCTGCATGACCTTGATTTTGTATCAGAGTCGCTATAGGACTTCCCTTCCCAAGTGAAGGCTCCAGGCCAACTGACTACGTTGGGCCAGGTACTTATGGCTGCGAGATAAGGACAGTGCTCTGTACACCAGCTTCACTTCGCACAACTGTACACAATAAATAACAACAGCACTCACTGTGACATTAATATATATTATGGTCCAGGTGTTTAGTTAACATACAGTTACATTTTTATCAAAAGATAACATCAATTTCCTAACAAAAAGTAAATATGTCTGAGAGACGAGGTGACGATGGTATATGGTAATCTAGCGCATGCGCAGAACTCATTTTATTTATTAGCTATTTTATTACTACGTTTCGACCATTACTAGGGCCATTTTCAAGTCTTATTGAGTCCTCCATTAGATATTCATTATTAATGTCGTATTAATTTGGTCAGAGAATTTTTTTTTTTATTTAGAAATATTACATTCTGTTACAATCAAGGAAATTAGAAAAAAAATAAATTTCCTGCTATTTAAGAATTTCCCCGATGTCATTTCTGGAGGGACTAATATTTCAGTCCATTTACAATGTAATTCTATATAAAAATTGATTTAAATTGAATTGAAATTGCTAATTTAAAATTATTTTTTACTTGCTTCATCATAACTTTAATTTATTGTGATAATAACTAACATAAATTAAAATGGAAATTAAATATTTTTGAATGAGTCTCTTTTGTACTACTTATAAATAATTTTAAGTAGTTAAGCTCGATTTTTAATTGAAATTGAATTATTTTTTTAATAAATCAGGATTTTTGAATCGTGATTAACTCTTTATTTATTCAATTTACTTTTTATTTAATTATATGTTTTCCTCAAATTTGTAATGATTATGGTCGAATTTCGACCACTGGGCGAACACTAGTATTTTGAGAACTCTGTTTTCCTTAAAGAAAGACACTAAAAAGTCAGATAAAGCCGAGGAAAACAGATAAAGCAATAAATTATTACAGTATTAATAAAAGAGAATTTAATGACAGAACTGGTGTTTAGAAGACAGTTTCCATGACCACCGACATTAGGAATAATCGAGTTTGTATTCCTCGATTATTTTGATATTTTGAGAACTCTGTTTTTCTTTAAAAACAAATACAACAAAGGAGAAAAACAGAAGAAGCAATAAATAATTACAGTAATAATATAGGAGAATGTGATGATAAAAGTAAAATGTTTAGAAGACCATCTCCATGACCACCGACATTAGGAATGATCAAGGAATACAAACAAATATTTTGTTTTGAAATGAAAATAACTTTATGATGGATTCTATTGTCAAAGGCTTTCTTTGTTGGTGTTTCTTCCAAGGCGATACAGTTGGCTTAAATCAGTTATGGAAACCAGGTTGAGTAGAGTGTTCAAACTTCCACGTATTTTGGGACTGTTTCCGTTCGATGACAGATTCCAATGGTCAAAAAAATGGATGATATATTCCGTATTTATCCAGTTAATGAGCATTCCTTTAATGGTTGATGGCTTTTATTATTATTATATTTTGGCAATCAGTTTACATAAGAGATCCATAACTGTTTTTGTTGTTCTAATTTCGATAACAAATCTTCTATCGTTCTTCAGTAATGTCTTCACAGTTTTCCATTTCACCAGGAAACGGAAAACTTTATTTCACTTACTTCATAACATGAACAAAGAAATATTAGAATGCCACGGGTTTCCAAAAAAAAGATTCTATGGGATATATTTCTTCTTTTTCGGTAGCATCTTATTAACATTAATTTGGTTGCACTTCCTGGAGGATGGTTTCAGTAAGGATGCTATGATTCTCTCGTTGATGGCAATACAGTTATCTACTTCGTCAATCTGTGTTATCAGCCAGTTTATGAACTTGATGGGAGTCCTAACCATCCTGATCCGACTGACTACCGAAGCATACGACGAAGGTTCCATCAATGCCTTAGCAAGGATGTCAACTTATGGTGAATACATGAGCGAAATCTACGGGCCATTTTTATTCATCATGGTGGTGGAACCTCTATTTCAATCGATTTATTTATCATACTTATTTCTTTTACCAGCTTTTCCAGGAATGTTCAAAGTAAACATTATGTTAGTTATGTTCATATCATCATGCTTCCTAAAGATGGGAAATGTTATCTATTCATGCAACAGCTATCTGGTTCAGGTAATGTTGAAACTACTTTTTTTTTTAAATATTGCTGATGTGTAAATTCTTATCATTTCATAAAATTTAAATACATTTAATGAAATAACAATAACCATAGTCAGTCTAGAAAAGAAATCTTATAATAATTGCCGACACAGATGGAGGAATGGCAGGACAAAATTTTCGGTCCACAATCTGCTAACGGTGTAATAAATATAAATATAAGTACGTCCTATTTAAAGGATTAAAAGAAAGTTGATGCCTTCCGAAATCTTAATAGAAAAACGTACACCGAATAGTGGAAGAGGTAGTTCCTCCCTGCTATAAGTAGAGCCAAGCAATAGATAAGCATCAGAAATAGAGCGAATATATTGGAGGAGAAAGAAGGTAAGTCAGTTAGGAAATGGTAAAATATAACCATGTTTTAGTAAAAAAATTATCTTTAAGTATTATTGTTCGTCTAATTACATTTAAAAGTACATGAAGAATCACTGAAACACCATTTCATATAGGTAGTTAGTTTCTTTCTTTCTTCCAAAGTAATTATCCTATTATATACATACAAAAAAAATATTTCGGTCTGAAGCCCCCCCTTTTTTTTTTATTAATTCTTGATTTTTAGAAACACAGTCCTTATATTTAGTCCTTTGATCTTTCCTCTCTGACCGCTCCTTTCGAGTTCGCCGTGGAACAGAATTTCCAATGTCTATCCATTTAAGCAGGTGTTTCCTAAGGCAGCGTCTCGGGTCCCTTTCTTTATGTCCTTTATGACCGCTGACATCACTACTTATCCCGATACCTTCTTTGCAAGATTTTCTGATGACACCGCAGTCTTATTATATAACTCTGTTCCGGAAATAACATCCTTAAATCTGAATATGCACCTCTCACTGATTGTGTACTATTGTAGTAAATGCCGTTTTAAATTAATTGAATCCAAATGCAAATACATTACCTTTAGACTCCGACACAATTCCTACCCACCAATACTCATCAATCCCAATGATGCTCCATCCCCATCTTTCATACATACCATAAAAGATTATTTGCTACGTTCAATACATAGCAAGATTATACGTACCCTAGAACCGCCAGGCCCAGAGGAAGTGAAATGTCTTTGTTAGAAGTTTCTACTGTTTTTACTCTCCGAATCCTCTATTATCGATTGATTCTGTACACTATTTTTAGCCCTTCCAATATTTCTTAAGTGCCGGGGCCTATGATCACAAACAAATGTTATTTTACGAAATGATAAAACACATCAGAGGATTAGGATGTCCTGGGCTTCTTTCGTCAGTGCTTTCCTTCACATCCACTCAATAGTTCCTTACCGAGTAGACCAGTGATGGCTTTTGGATTCAATAGTTCTTTCAAAGTTGCACGTATTTTAGGATTGTTTCCCTTTGACGACACATTCCAATGTTCCACAAAATGGTTGATTTATTCTATATTTTTTCAATTATTAAGCTTCCCTCTTCTAGCTGATGTATTATTTACTTATCGTCAAATCTTAGAGGATAGCTCTTATAAGGCTAGGAGTGCTTTGACTATTCTCAACTGCTTTATATATATTGTATACTTCTTTGGCAACATAATTACTTTCATCCATCTGACACGTAAACGGTCCATGATTTGTGATCTTTTGGACAGCATAAACGACGAAATAGACCATTGCATCCACTTCCCCAAAACAAGATTCTATACGATATACATAATCTTGTTTCTTAACACCTTGATGATAATACTTTGGCATGTTTTCTTCAAGGAAGAAGAATCGGATCAGTATACTACAAATATCTATCTCGCTGCATTGATGTTATCTAATGCTCCAATCAGCATCACCAGCCAGCTGTTGGACCTGATGCGTGTACTGACCATCTTGTTACGAGAGACCACCAAAAGATACGACGAAGGTTCCATCAAAGCCTTAGAAAGGATATCAAGTTATGGAGAATACATCAACGATATCTATGGTCCATTACTGTTCTTCATTGTGGTGGCGCCCTTTTTTGAATTTGTTTCCGATTCGTATATTATCCTCCTTCCAGTTTTTCCCGGAATGTTGGAATTTAATATCATCATTTTATTGTACACAATAATATGCGTAATTAGATTGGGAATAATTGTTTATTCCTACAGTGGCTATCTCGATGAGGTAAATATATTTTATTTTAATTATATATAAATAAGTTTAAACCTTTTAATTTGACCGAATAACTACGATTATTTATGATACAGATATATTTTTTATTTTTTATTTATTGAGTATTAATACAGTATGCCACACTGAAGGGCATTGGTACTAGGTTTATAGTATTCATTCACACAATATGTACATAAGAAAGGAAGAAAAAAAAAATATATATAAATAAAAAGATAAAGTAATATAAAAGATAAGTAAAATAACAGATTAGCCGAATAATAACAAAATAAATAAAACACATTCACACCTATGTACAATATTTACATTGGCCCAAGGGAATCCGAATCAAGCTTTGTCCCCCAATTGTGGAAGCCAAAGGAGGACTTCTCCCCAGATCCCAGTGCTTCTCAGCCGCGTCACTGGTATAGTAAGCCAGTGGAGACTAATGGAGGGCACTAGAGCAACAGACGCTCAGGACATGAGTGAAGAATCTGGCCAGTGCCAGTACTCCAATTTATACAATGATACAGAAATAGGTTTATTTAAAAAACCTGCCTGAAATAGGTAACCAGGAAAGACTATATAGAAGTAAGGAGGTGCAAGAGGTGTCGCCCCCAATATTTGTAAATCCAAATATTCGGGAGATTTCGGAGAATCAAAATCAAACGAGGTAAAACATTCACTCTTAACACCAGTGAATAGTTAAAATCGAAAAGTGTTTGGAAAATTAATACATTTCTTTATCAAATACATTTTAGAAAAATGGCCTGGGGCTTAGAAGTCAAAATGAAAAGAATTGACTTTAACAAACGACTGAAATTACTGTACGATCATCTTACCAGATCATGAAAGCTGAATACATTTTTTACTTTTACTTACCTATATATGAAATATATAGTAAGGGAAAGTATTGCGATGGTTAAAATTTTGGAATCTGAGTTTTCAATTAATCTGGGCCTCTGATGAATGAGGGAGGAGATAATCTGTGGATAATAGAAGCGGAAAGGGTTAGATTTAGCGTACTGTGGTCTGAGGAAAGATCATCGAGCCGTAAAACTGAGTAGTTTAGCGACCCTACCCTTTGCGAATGAAGAAGTCAAGGAGGTCAGGATTACGGTTAGGATCGGTTGTCCATTATGTAGGAGTCCATTTCCTCTGAAGATATGTACGCAAACGCTTTGTTTAGAAGATATTCACACCTAAAGATTTTCGTTTTTATGAATTATTTAAGTTATCTATCTAAATAAAATAAAGATTTTGTCAGTAAATTGAATAGAATCAACCCGTTTCATAATATCTTTCCGTTTCATACATTACAGACACCAAATCCACTTTTAAAACATTTTTTTGTCTATCTGTATGTCCGCATTGCAACGAAATTTTCTCAGGAGTAAGCTTAGCAATTTCTTATTGTAGACTTTTGTGAAATTTTAAAATTATATTAAGGTTTACTTGACTTAAAACATAGGCTTTAAATGAAAACAAAATATTGAATAGAACCAGAGTTTTGAATTTTTGGGTAATTTGTCTAGAGATCCCGGTTAGGCAGTTACTTCGATTCCTATCCCAATCTCCTCTACCCCGAGCCATATTAAACGGTTGTACTACTCAACTGATAGAAAAAATTATCACAACTCAACAGAAAAAATCCGAAATGCCAAACATCTGTAACGCGTTGTCGCTTAAAACACACTTATTTTTCAAATTTCGATCTTCCCGTTCAAGGTGTCATTCGATTCAACTTCTCGAGCCTAACAAATGTTGTCGTATACATTTTTACGATTAACCAAATGGATTAGCCGGAAATCGGAAGAAAAACTTCTAAAAATTAAAATTACCTTTCCCCCCTCACCCAATATTACGGATTTAACCTCCTTCTCTCCCCATAGTACAATATCCATCTCAAAAAAAGGTTCTCAAATGTTAACTATACACTCGTCAACGATGGGTACATCAGCTAGTATGAAATAAATAAAACCTTTTTATTTATTATTTAAGAAGTGTCTTTCAGTTTTTAAAATTTACTATACGAGTACTTCAAATATTTTTATTTTATTTTATAATAATAACAATAATAAAAGGCTTAGCGAACCCGAAGGTTCGATGCCGACACCACCAATCGCTTATTACACACCTCCCTCGACCGTTCTCCGTCCAAACCTAGTCCCTTCAGATCGTTTTTTTTTTATTTTCCAAAAAAATTCTATTGATATATAATAACTTAGGAATGCATGCGGAGCTAATTTAGAAAACAATAATATAAAAAAATATTTTCTGTCTAGGTTCCTAGGGCACATTGGCAAGAACCCAACGGACATGTGTCTTATATTTTTTGACCTTGTATCACAAAAAAAAGTTTTATTGAAATCTTAAATATATTTTTTTAAAAAATCATGAAATATTAGGGTTTTTTTTTTATGACTCTCCAACTATATTACCCGTATCTCTAATTTAATTAATTTTTAAAAATATTCTTTTCAAAAACTCACTTCTTTAATATGCTTTAATTCGATATGAAATAAGATGGGAGAAAGGATGTTGCTATTGTGAGAATTAAGTGCAGAGAGCAATGTTCGTGGTTCTGGTTCTCCATTGCTGAGACTTGGCATTAAGGACTGCGGTTTCAGGTATTACTATATTAGGTGGAGAATATGCTCCGACAACTGTAACAGAGAAAAGTGAGGTTTGGATTGTTATTTCTGGGGTTTGAAGGAAATTATGAACTGGTAAAGGATAAAAGTGATGGGAGAGGGATGATGGATGATGGCAGCAGTACCTCCATGTGCTGTTCCATCAGGATGGTCAGTTCGATAAATCTTGTAGCCAGGTATGTTGAATTGCCGTTTGTTAGTTAGTCGGGTCTCAGTTGTTAGAGCTATGTCAATGCTATTGTCCACTATTTATAGTCTTAAGCTTCTACCTAGTCGACATAGATCTCTTATGTAAATCAGGTTAAGTAGTGTGTTCAAACTTCCACGTATTGTAGGACTGTTTCAGTTCGATGAAAGATTCTAATGGTAAAAAAAAAAACGGATAATGTATTGCGTGTTTATCCGGTTCATGAGCATTTCTTCAATGGTTGCTTTTTTTTGTTTTGTTTTTTTATAATTAACTTTTGGCAGTCAGTTTAAATACGAGGTCCGTAACTGTTTTTGTTGTTTTAATTTCGATAACAAATCTATCGTTCTTCACTAATTTTTTCTCAGTTTTCCATCTGACCGGAAAACGGGAAAGGGCATTTCACCTGCTTGACCGCATAAACAAGGAGAATGTCGCGTTTTTTTTTTTAAAACAAGATTCTATCCGACATATTTCTACTTTTTCTATAGCACGTAATTGACAGTACTCTGGATGCATTTCATAGATAACGGTTTCAACAAGAGAAATATGGTTCTCTTGTTGATGTCAATACAGTTATCTACTTCGGCGATCCGTGTCACCAGTCAGCTGCGGGACTTGATGCGAATGCTAAGCATCTAAGATCTCCGAGCCAAACCTTTCTCCACACTCGAGGAATAAAAGGGAGGACTCTAGGAGTTCCCAGGATCCTTCACTCAGCCACATTACAGGCATTAAATACCAGTAGAGGCTGTGAAGAGGCATTATAGCCACACATACATGGCTTGAGTAGAGAATCTGGCCATTGCCAAAACTCCAATACATGCTTATTTAAAAAAGGTCACTGGGCCACTGCCGCATCAACCTTCGACGAGGATTGTATGAATTGGTGGTACTGGATAGGGATGGTGCAAGGTTATTTGGATGATGGGTAAGGTTCTGTCGAAATTTGGAGAACTTTTCTGGGATAAATGGGATATTAAGGTCATGGTGTAAATGTGTACTCATAGATGCCGAAAGGCAAGTATGAGTACACATATATATGAGTACATCATCGTCTGCAGTATCGGATCTAGGATTTAATTTTGAGGGCTTCAGCCGAAAGCTTCTTTTATATATATATGTATATAAAACGATAATTCCTTTGGAAGAAAAATAAAGAGAATAACTACTTATATAAAATAGTGTTTAAGTGATTCTTGAAGTCATATTAAACGTAATCACACAAACAATAATGTGTTTAATGATAATTTTTGTATATTTTTTTCATTTCATTTCAATATAGTTCTATTGGTCCCCTCTTTCTCCGCAGATCCGTCTGTGGTCCTTCGGGCCGGATTTCGTTTTGACTAATATATGAGTCCACCACCGTTTAAGGATTAACAAATATCCGAGGGAAAAAAATCAGCACTCAACAAATAGAAAAAGAAAGACAAGCAAAAGTTTTTATTTTTTTGGCAATACTACATCCCACTTCTGATTGTCAAGTGAGGCTCGACTTTTATTCGAAGGAAAAAACATAAAAAAAAAGAATAATATTATGTCGGTCATGCCATTAGGGATCAAGTATTGATTTTAGAAATCAAAATAATTTGATAATTGATTGTGCTGTCCAAGGCCTTTCTATTCAGTATTGGTCTTTAGATAGATGAGAGATGGGAACTAAGTTGGTCAGTGCTTTCAAAATTCATCGTATTGTCGGATTTTTTCCTTTCGATAACAGATTCCAATGGTCCAAAAAGTTGATGGTATACTGCGTATTTATCCAATTACTCACACTTCCTTCAATTATTGAAGGTTTGCTTAATATTTTTGAAAACTCGGCAGAAGATACCAATAGGGCCTACCGTGTTTTAAAAAAACTGATTTATTCAGTTAATCTCGTAAGTTTTTTCAGTGACTTCTTAACGCTTATTCATCTGACGAGAAAACGGGACGTGGTGTTTTACCTACTCGACGGAATGAGCAAGGAAGTTGAGGAATGTTGGAATTTACCTAAAATACGTTTTTATGTAATTGTCTACTATTTGTTAAGTCACTTAGGGATAGTGTTGTGGTTTGCCATCATGGACCATGAAATTTCCCCGAGAAGTGTATATATCGTGATAAAAGTAATACTCTTATCCAATTTTACCATCAGCATCAGCAGCCAGCTGTGGGACCTGATGCAGATACTGACCATCTTGTTCCGGGAGACCACCAAAGAATACGATGAAGGTTCCATCAGAGCCTTAGAAAGAATGTTAACTTATTGGGAGTATATCAACGAAATTTATACACCTTTTTTATTCATCGTGGTGGTGAAATCATTCGTTGAAGTGATTTTGTATTCGTACATGCTATTTCTACCAATCTTTCCTGACATTTTGAAATTAAATGTCATAGTATTATTGTTCATAATGTCATGCTTCATAAACTTGGGAGCTGTTATTTATTCCTGCAATAGGTTTCTGGATGAGGTAACATTAAAAATTTATTTTAATATATTTAACGAATAAATGAAACAAATGATAACACAGAATTAGCTTTGTATACACAAATCAATAATTTTATTAACATTAAAGTTACATATAGCACCATATATAATGATCTAGTAACCTTTTAGAAAATTAAATGAGTGGTTAATTTGGTGAATTTTCCCTATGTGAAATCCCAACATTATCCACTTACAATTAGTGTGACAACTTTTGTCCTATCCATGGCAGGCAATGCAAATCTCGTAATTTTATTCACAGTTATAAATTAATAGTTCTAAAATCCATAATAATTTATAGGTTAAATATTCAGATATACTTTCAAAGCTCTCTAGGCATGTATGAGTTTTTCAGCTGACAGAACGACTAATCCCAATTTCAACAATATTTATTAATTTTAGAGATGTTTCTAGTAGCAAAATTTATGCCTTTTTTCACAGTTCTATATTTTATCTCTGCAATCACCTACTCTGGGAATCAACTTACTAACTGTTATTGGAGTTAGTCATTCTATGAACTGAAAGGCTCAGAGACTGAAGTTGTGTTATTTATTTATGAAAAGCAGATGGAGTAACTAGATTTTCATTGCCTACCGTAGATATAAAAAATAAACTTTTTGTAATTTTAATGGTCTTAATGATTTGTCATCTGTAAGATTTAAGCTTTAGCTCCGTTTAAAATGTACTTCAAAAATTTTATCATATCCCAGCATTGCCAGAAAATAATTTCTATTCAAAGCAGAGCGGTAAATGAAAGTTGTGTGTTGCGCCCACCAGATTTTTTTATATTGTGGGCGATAATCCAACCCTACTTTTCGCAGTTAAGAGCTTCCATTCTACGAAAATAACAATATAATATAAAGAATAATATTATGGTGAAACTAGAATGTTACAGCACAATGGTCATGGTTACCAACATCATTAGGTATTACTAAGGAAAATAAATCGATATTGATTTTAGACATCAAAATAACTTGATAATTGATTGTACTGTCCAAAGCTTATCTCCTTAGTGTAGTCCTGTCTTCAGATTCTGTTGTGAAATAGACCAGAGATGGCAACCAAGTTGATCAGTGCATTCAAAGTTCATCGTATAGTTGGATTGTTTCCATTCGATGATAGATTTCGATGGTCCAAAAAATTGATGGTATATTCCATATGTATTCAATTACTCACACTTCCTGCAATGATTGAAGGGTTTCTCAATTATTATGAAAATTCTGCCTACATTCAGAATAGAGCCTTTAGTGTCATAATTGGAATTTATCAGTTAATTAATCTAGTAGATTTTTTCAGCAACTTCTTAACCATTATTCAGTTGACGAGAAAAAGGGACATGGTGTTTTACCTACTTGATGGAATTAGCAAGGAAGTTGAAGAATGTCGAGAATTTCCTAAAATACGTTTTTATGCAAGTATCTGTTATTTAGTAACTTCCTTAGAAGTAATACTCTGGATTGCCTTCATGGACGGTGGCTTTTCCATCAAGAATATATTAACCGGGGTGATGGGAATTCTTTCATGCAATTCTACACTAAGTACCAGCAGTCAGCTGTGGGACCTCATGAAGGTGCTAACCATCTTGCTCCAATAGACCACCAAAGGATACGATGAAGGTTCCATCAGAAGCTTAGAAAGAATGATAACATATGGAGAATATATCATAGAAATATATAGGCCTTTTTTATTCATCGTGGTGATGAAACGTTTTATTGAAGTGATTTTATATTTATACATGTTGCTTCTACCAGTCTTTTCTGCCACGATTAATGTGAAAGTCTTATTGTTATTGTTCGTAATAATATGCTACACAAATTTGGGAGCCATTATTTATTCCTGCAATAGGTTTCTGAATGAGGTAACATTAAAACTTTATTTTAATATATTTTTAAGAGATTCTGGTCGGTTCACTCAATAAATACACCACGATTGGTATATACAAGTTAATTTTTTGGGGGAAAATATAAAAGCTATGAGTAATAAACTTTAAACAAAATTACGAAAGAAAACTAACGTTATACAAAAATAAAAAATACAGCTCCAGAAAAATTAATAACAGTATTAATAGAAAAAAAAATAGTAAAGTTTTATAAAGGAAAAATACAAAAAATAAAATAATGCTAGCCAATTAACAAAAACTTAATAGAGTTGCAACTCCAGCATTGCACAATTTTCACGTTAGCGAGTGAAAAGCAATTTTTTCTATCACCAGTGTTGCCGCGCGCTCTGTGACAAATCCTCGTACTCGAGCCTCGTACATCCTCGTACGCTTTCTCATTTATAACTCGTAATATTGTAAACCCAGTGTTATTGTTTTGTTTTTTTATAGTAAAATTAGATCAGAGCTTTTTATTTTGACCTCTATTAATATATTTTAAAGCCTTTTTACATTAAATTTTTTTTTTAAGTTAATGGGTCAAGAAGTAAAATTAGCTTAATAAAATATATAAAAAAAGTTTATATATTTATTTATGTATTTACAGAAACTACTGGAAACTTTATATAAAAATTAAAATAGCAAAATAAACTTCTTAAAGTCCTCTTCATCAGTATCTTCATTGGTTCTACTAATACCAAGATTTAATTTGGGGGAGGACTAATTTTTTTTTTTTTTTCTAAAAACTAAACAACTACTTTTATGAAATGATGTTAGTGGTTCTGGAAGGCTAATAAAAATTAATTATAGGGGTATTAATTTTAGAGATATCCATTATAATATATAAAATGAATAGATTGTGATCGTTTCAGTATTTAGCTTACAATTAGATCTCACACAAAACAAATGTGGTCCACTAAAAAAATACCTTTTTTTCCATTATTTAAGATGGGTTCATTATGAATAATTTTTTAATTAATTACTTCACTCGATTAAAAATCGAAAATATATTTTTTTAAATTGCTATAATAATTTTAAAAAAATTAATTTATCTAGAATATATTTACAATTACAGTTTTATGAAGGAAATAATGGATATAGTTTCTTATATTTTATTTTATACTAGATCAAATCAAAAATGTTTTTTTTTTTAAATTTTTTTTTCTAGAAAATTAAAAAAAAAACATACATATACAATCGTGGTTTTATGAAGGAAATAATAATCATACTCTAATTAAAGAAGACATAATTTCAATTTATTTGTGTAGAAAGCAACAGAAGTTCAGTATTTCATATCAATATAAATAATAATAAAGTAAAAATAATTGTAAAACAATTCTAAACTTCATGCATAAAGATATAATCTTGCATACGTCAGCAAAAAATTATGTACAAGGTACGAGGCTGGTCGATCCTGGTACCTCGTACATTACGTCATAACCTCGTACAAATGACAACACAGTCAATCACCCTAAACTGTCTCTTTTTTTATCATCTGTTTTTAAAACAAAGCAATCGATATTTTGTATCCTGGACGATCGATTACCAAAGAGGTAGAGAGAAGTAACGTTGGCTGCAGAACTGATTACTGAAGGCGTCATGACGTAACAAGAGGAGTGCGGTAACATATTTAAAGAATAAATGGAAATATTTGTTTAAGAAGGATTATATATTTTTCCTGTACGAAAAACCGTAATAATAATAATTATTGTTGTATCACACTCTTACTTTTCCCTATGATATTTAATATTTTAAAAGGGTCAACAAATTATAACACAGTTATAATTTATTTTTTATACAAAAATTAACCAATTTAATAATATTATAGTTAACATCATTTATTTATTTTTTATGCTAATCTGTTCAATTTCTATCCGGCATATTGTCATAATATTTTTTTTATTATTTGCTGATTCTTAGTTAATTACTACAGATGAAAATGGCTCTTTTGATTTGACCTAAACTTAGAAGAAATTCGGAGAATAATATGGAAATTACGTAGTATGAATTTCGTTAAATAATTAAAATTGATATAAATAATGGTCAACAGTGTAATGGCTATGAAATGTGAAAGGAATTGATCATTTAGACTGGGAATTAGATTAATACAATATTTTTTATGTTTAATAGTAATATATAATATTAAAACTTGTTTATTTATTTAAAGAGTAAATGAGAATAGTTGTTTAGTAGAATTTTAGATCTTTTTTGGATGGAAAACTGCTTTAGACTGTGTCTAACATACTGGATATTATTATTACTCTTCAAATTTACCTCTGATATTAAAGTATTTTATAAGAACTAATAACGATAAAAATTAAACAGCCGGCACGAGATTTAAGGTTAGTGTATTACGAGTTAAAGAATGGAGGCTTAATATCACGATAATTAAAGTGTATACTTCAACCGAAGATTAAGATGAAGGATGATTTCTAACATGAATTGAATCCGATGAATGCGTTAGAAAAAAGTATTAAAAGATTTGAGGGAAAATCCTCCGCATGATAACCGGAGCGATCTGGGATCAGAGTCTTAACTCACGCAGAAGAAAGACCAATAATGAGCTGCTTACAGAAACTGGTCAATCAATATCCCATGATATGTAGGCACGGATGTTAAGATTAGCTTGGAGCAATCTATCTGGAATCCTCTATACGACAATGAATGCCTCAATAGTAGGCAAAATATCCTACGAAAAAAATTATCTCTATATGTATTATTGTTCGTCTAATCACATTTAATAGGACTTAAAGAATCACTTAAACACCATTTCGTATAGGTAGTTAGTTTCTTTCTTTCCGAATTATTTATCCTAATATATACATGAAAAAAAAATCTTTCTAAAATTAACTTGAGAATACATTAAAGAAAGATATTGAAAAGTCCCCACCTTGGATTGAAAGAGTTGTAGAGTAAAGACAACCTATACAATATGACCAATAATTCAAACAAAAAATCTGGTGTGTTCATTCACATGAGTCTTTCCTAACGATTTAAAACAATTGTTTTCAATTTTAAATATGTTCATTAAAAATAAGACAATTGAATTGGACTGATAACTGATCAAAGAAATCATTAGTGTACGTTTTCTTTGATGAACTAAAGCAATGTAAACAGGCAAGTGAACAATTGTTAAAATTAGTGTAAAAAATTCAATACACTGCAACTTTGCTAAAACTGCAGTGTATTGTAGTTTTTTTATAGTTTTGTCAGAAATTTAATAACCTTTTAAAAAATATTACCACTACATGCTGTAGCACCAGTCTTGGTCTTCGTATTGCAACGATTAGACGGTCTTGGTCTTACAAAGTGCAAGGATAAAAGAGAGCTATCGATACGAAATAAATCTTAGGATACTTACGTTTTAAGTTTCAATTTATTTCAAGTTTATCAAACCTGTTATATGATTCTTAAACTTGCAAACTCACCTGCAACAAAAATAAACCAACATTAGTTTAAAGACTAGATAAAATAGCTGTATAATAATTTTAAAAGATATTGTAATCAAATCATATGGTTGTATATATCCGGCCGAAAATGTCCTGCATTCACTTCTGCCTAACAACGTTGCAAAAAATAGGCATACCAGTTAAAGGCCTCAAAAAAAGGGCAAAAAGTAGATGGATAGATCGAATCAACAAAGATGAAATGGAGGTAACTGGAAACAAATAGCTACAGATAGGCGGAGATGGAGTGGGCTTGTTAATTAAGGCCGCAAAAGATCTACATGGTCTGTAAAGCTAACAGAAAAAAATAAAATAAATAATAAATCAAAAAATAAAATTATTAAAATCCGTCTGAAACTTCATAAACATTATCTGAAACTCATCGTAAGCTACAACTATTTTATTTACGAAAACTCTTAGAATTGGGTCATTTTCAATCTGGAGATCGGCAAACTTTGTATATTTAATTAGGTAATAAATAATCGCAAATAATCATTTGCTTTCCACTTAAATCGTAAGATAAGAATAAAAGTGGCCTACAAAAACATTGGACCGTTTGACGTGAACCACAACCCCAACATTTCAAGGCCGAAAGGCTCAGTATTTTTGTTGGCCACCTTTTTTTATTTTTTTCCATTTTTGATAAAATTACCTTATGACCCAAGTGGAAAGGAAATGGTATTATCGGAATTTTAGTACCTAATTAAATAGACAAAGTTTGCCGATCTTGAAATAGAAAACGTCCCAATTCCAAGAGTTTTCGTAAATAAAATATTTGTAGGTTACGATGATATGAAAGAATTCACAAAGCTTCAGGCAAATGTTAATAATTACTTTAAAAGGGTCTGTACCACGGACTAATTTGGTTAAAGACAAAAATTGGCCCATCTGTATTTTTTATTTTATAAATAAAATGAGTCGATAAACTTGAGTGGGACCCTCTCGATAATCATGGCATTTTAAGAAATATTTTTCTAAGATGTTAACCGTCAAAACAACCGTACAATGCACCAGTTAGAATAACATTCCTCGAATTTCCCGTCAATTTATTTTATGAAACTATGCTCATTTAAACAAAACATAAATGATTGAAAGCATTGCATTATGAAAGAAAACATCAAGTCGAAACGTTTGTGTTTAGAAAACAGTGACCATGACTACCAACAACATTAGAGATAACTAGGGATGCAAATAAATATTATCCTAGACATTAAAAATAACTCACTGATTATACATTTATAGACTTCACTCCTTCCTACAAACCTTATAATTCAACAAACTAGCGATGGAAG